CGGGGACCAACCAAGAGGCCCGTGGTGACTGTCGAGTAGTTCTGGGATCCTCTTTCTCCCTCACCCCCCGCAGCGCCCTAACAGAGCAGGAAGGACATAAGTCCACCTCAGTTCCGACACAAGCTTTCAGGAATGAAGCTGACACCCATAGGCTCCCCAGTGCCAGAGTGTTTCTCATGAGGGTCTCAATGTGATATGAGGTGTCAGTCATCAGTCACCCCTCACCTGGGCTCCAGAGGGCCCCACTGCAGAGCCAGTTCCTGGGATGCCCAGAGAGAAGAGTGGGGTAAGGTGGACTGGGCTTCCTTCTGCTTACCCAGTCCTGAGTCTGCAGTCCCTCCTGGGCACTGCTCTGTACCCCGGGTTGGCTCCAGGCTGCCGCCGGCCCCCCCTGGGTCAAGGGCTGCCTGTACTCTGGGGGGTACAGTGCCTCTGCCTTCTGCTCCAGGGGGCCCTTCCACGACTGTTTTCTGTCATCCATCTCTAGCCCTAGTGGGCTACTGGTCTGTACCTCTGGGGCTCTGGAGGAAGGACAAGGATTGGGTGGTGCAGGTTCCCAAGGCCACCTGGCCCTCACAGCTACCTGGGTCCCAGATGCAGGTGGTGGCAGTTTATGGCTCTCTCTGGGGCCACCTACAAGCCACTGGTCAGATGCTGTTGGGCGTCCTGAGGCCAAATGCCACTTTTCTCCACAGGGCGTCCAAACTTCTGCACGTGCAGCTTCCGGCCCTCTCCCCAGCTGACTGACCTCTGGTTGCCTGGCTCCCGCAGACTCCCCCTTAGGAATCCCCAGCCTCTGGCCCTCTTCCCGGGCTCTGTCCCCCAGCTGACCGACCTCTGCAGGCCTTGCTACTGCAGGCTTGCCCTTGGGGCTCCCCAAGCCCTGTGGCCCTCTACCCTTGTCAGACTTCAAACCTCTGCCCTCCTGGTCCCAGAGGCCACCCAACCTCTGTTCAGGCATCCGCCCTCGGTCAACACTTGTCCCATCTAAGACTGGATACCTCTTCTGGCAGTTTCCCAGGACCCTGCCTGGCCTGGTGTACAGATGCTTCGGGAGCATCGGAGGAATGAGGGTCCAGCGCGGGGTGGAGGGGGCCTCCCTCCACCCGCCCTGAGCGCCCCGCCAACTGTGACGCTCACCTCGGCCCGGTTCAGGCCGCACCCCAAGGCAGGGCTGCAGATCCCAGTGGGTGAAGAAGCCGGAGTGGACCCCACCCCACCTGCCCCTCCGCAGGGAGTCTGCGCTGTCGGGCAGGAGCCGGCTGAGGAGTCCCTTGGAGGGCAGAGGGTCAGCAGGGGGCCACCAGGGGGCCTTGGAGGAACAGCAGGGGCACAGGGTTTAAGTTCCGAAAGGGGACCACGGCAGGTCTGGGGGTACCCGGGGGCTGGAGTGGGGCGCCCCTGGGGGTCTGGGGAATCAGCAGTGGGAGGCGGCGGGGATCCACTGCGGGTTGGGTGGATCAGCAGGAGGTGGGGGTCCAGTACGGCCCAGGTGCGCCTGTCCCCCGCCAGTTTGGGGGGGGCCAGAGGGGGTGGGTTGGGGTCCACTGCGGCTTCAGGGAGGGGTCAGTGGGGTAGAAGCGGTGAGTCCACTTCGGGCTTAGAGGTGGGTGAATAGGAGTAGTCGGCCCCACAATCGTCCAGCGAGGCCCGCCGGAACTTCCGCTCTGTAGGCCCCGCCCCTCCGCTTCCACTTCCGGTCCGCCCCGTGCCTGCGTCCTGGCCTCCCGCCGACAGGGGGCACCAGGCAGGCATACCCTCCTCTCGGCCCCACCCCGCAGCCTTCGGAGACCCCAGGGCGGGGGCAGGCCGAGGGGTGGCCCGTGCGGTCACGAGGAGGAATCACACAATAGCCGAGGGAAGACCCTGGGGGTGGCCCTCCAGGTTTATTAGTGTCGCATCAGCACCTTAAAATAGTCCACATAGTCACCAACGTGACAGATTAGAATCTGTTCTCCAAAAAGTTATTTACACTAATCCTGTTTTCCATTAAAAAAGCAAAAAGAGAAACTAGCAACACATACAACTAGAAACCCAACAACGCAGGCTGGGCGGGGAGGGGTCTGCAGGGTCGGGCCTCCGCCCCAGCGGGGTGCCCTGCGCGGCGGGTTGGGAAGCGGGGCGGCCGTTCTCACAGAAGCCGTCTGGACAAGGCCAGGGCCGGTGCCACGGGCCTGCCCGCTCGGACCCGCTGGCCGCTCACGCACCCAGGCCGGCCACCCTGGAGCTAACCAGACAGCCCGCTGCCTCCCCCCCACCCCGAGGACCCCGCTCTGAGGGCTGCCGGCTGCCCTGGGGCCCCCCTCTCCTGGGTGCACCTCCCACGCACCACCGCAGGGCTTGCGTCCGCCGGCTCAGTCACAGGCTGTTTTGGTTTCTACGTCATCTTTTTTTGAGGGGACAAAGTGCTTTTCCGTGTATCCTCAGAACAGCTCCATGAGGTAGGCAGGGGAGGTGTTACCATCCCCCTTTTAACTGATGGGGAAACCGAGGCACAGGGGTGAGCATGGCCTGGTCTCCGGGTGGGTCGCAGGTGCCCGTCTGCGAAACCTCCCCCAGCGCAGGGCATGGTGTGAGTGGGCCGGGGTCAGTGGGGAGCTAGGCTATGGGGGGAGAGGGTTCCATCAGAGCTCCTGAGGACCTCAGCCAAGTGGGTGGAACAGTCCGCTGCCAGAAAGCTAAGTTGGGGGCATCATCACCTCCATCTCTTTCCTATTAATGACCTTTGGAAAGACACCCACAGAGAAGTAAACCGGTCCTGAAGCCCACTGGTGGGGACGCTGGGGAAAGGGGAGAGGGTCAGGAACCAGAGCTGGTTCTGAGTGTTTGAAGCCCCTGCTGCCGTGGGCACAGTGGCCGGCACCCTCGCCCAGGCCTCCTTGGCCTGGCTGGGCAGAGACCTAGGGTGCACTTTGGTCTCCTGGCACAGGCGTGGGGATGTTGGGAGAGGTGTGTTTCAGCAACGAGGGGCTCTCTTTGGGAGGGCACCAAGGCCGGCCTCCACGTAGCCCCACAGGCCCGTCCCATATGGCCACAAACAGGGATCGCACCCCAGACCCCCAGTGTGCTTTCTTCTCATGAGATACCCCAGCAAGGCGGGCCGGGAAAGAGCCCGCCCAGGGCCTGCTATTTGAGAGCGGCCAGCGGTGTCTTGCGAGGGTCAGCTGGGGGCCAGGCTAGGGCTGAGATGCCTGTGTGTCTACAAGAGGTGAAGAGGCCCCACCTCTCAACGCCACACACACCTGAGGGCTGGTTTCCAAAGCATGGGGGGGGGGCACAGGTAAGCAGGTAGTCACAGGTGAGAGAAAAGGAACATCTCTCACCCCAGAGAAGGTGGGGACCCTTAGTGACGCTGGCTGCTGGCATGCAGTCGGTGCTCTGCAGGGTGGGAGTGGCTGTGCCCATCCTACATTTGGCACTGTGTCCAGTCACACCCTTCAGTGACAATTCATCTTAGGAAACCAGGCCTGAGACTCATTGTACGGGCCTGCTGTGTCCCAGGGGAGGCCCACTTGGGTGGGCTCTTCCTATGGAGACCTGGGGTTGCAGGAGTCCCCACTACCTCATCATGGGTGGCCAGTGGAGGTGGACAGGTGGAGGCTGGGACCTGCTCCCAGGATAGGAACTCGGCCCTAGGTGTGCTTCAGGCTCTTGAGCCCCTGCAGGGGGCACTGGGGCTGCACTCCCGGCCCAGACAGGCTGGTACCTCTAGTCAGACCAGCCTGAGCCTTTGTTGACCACGATTGTACAGGTGAGACACACACACCTGGTACCTGTCCCCACATTCGCCACAATCCTGAATCTCAACCCAGGCACCCTGGGCCAACAGAGGATTGGGGGGGGGGGCGGCCAGCAGAGGGCAAGCTGGGGATGAGGGAGCGAGCCCCGGGTGACCCCAGCAGTGTCTCACCAATTCCCAGGCTGGCGTCTGGGACACTCGGCTGGGACCACCCGGGGCTGCAGGAGCTTTGCCTACAGACCCAGAGGCCCTTGCACTGGCTGAGTTTGGGCAGCCAGATGAGCACACAGAAGCACAGCAGTGTTTTTCCAGAACAGCCCAAGGGTGCGGGAAGATCCTGAGAGGGCCTGCGGTGTGAGGTGGTGTAGGGGCGTGGAGGCATGAGGGCGTGGGCATCTTGCTGGCTGCCCGGGCCCCAGCGGGCACTGGACTTCAGAAGAGCAATATCTGTTTGGCAGCTACATTGTAACATGTATTTAAAAGCATTAAAAATATCTGCGACTATAAAATCTCCACTGCCTCGTGGGGCTGGAGTTGACTGGGGACCATGAGCGGGCAGCACTCGGGGAGGGTCTGTCAGGCAGGGTCTGGACAAAAGGGGAACCTGGTGGCCCTGGGCACAGGGCTGGGCTAAGACTGCCCTCCACGTTGTACCTAAGCACTCTCCCCAACACAAGGCCCAGCAGGCATGTCCCTGTCTCACAGGACACACCGCTCCCTAGCTGTGACCCTCGGCTTCTGGCCACCAAGTGTCATTTGTGCAGACAGGTGGGTTCTCACCTGTACAGACAGGTAGGCCCTTTACCTACACAGACAGGTGGGCTCTCACCTGTGCAGATGGGCAGCCCTTCACCTGCACAGATGAGCCCTCACCTGTGCAGACAGGTGGGTCCTTTACCTGTGCAGACAGGTGGGCTCTCAGCTGTGAAGACAATGGGCTCGCGCTTGTGCAGATGAGTGGGCCCTCACCTGTGCAGACGGGCGGCTGCCCTCCTGCATTCTGGCTACCTGAGAAAGCAGAGGCCTGTTTATCATGAAGGAAAGATGTGAAGGCAAGAACCCTTCCTGCTTGTGGGGCTCTGGGTAGGAGCTCCTGAAGGCCAAAGCCACCTCACCTGATTCTCCAAGCTCAACAGTGTCCGCTCAGACCTCCCAGCACCCCTGCGGAACATTCTGGTTAATAAGCAGAGTAGTACTCAGCTCCCTGCACAGGAGCCGCCCCGTTAGTTTCCAGGCTTGTAAGTACATTCATACTGAAGACCGTTTCTCTGTGTAAGCGTCTGTCTCTGTAGTAAACTGAAATGTTAACAGAAAAGCTGAGGGGCTCCCGGCGTGGCGGCCTCGCAGGGCAGGGTGCTAGGTGGGCGGCGGCCCGGCACTGTCCCTGCACGACTCTCTGCTGGCTCCATCCTCAGGGTGGCGGGAGCTGGAAGGCGGGCTTGGAGTGTCCAAAGACGCAGATGGGGAAGTGCTTGACATGGGACGACCACTGCGCTGCCAGCTGGAAGAACTTGACGTCACTCCACTCCACCCCGTCAATGAGAACTGCGGGCAGACGAGAGCCGCCTGAGCCGCTGGCTGCTGCAAAGGGGTGAGCCAGACACTCCTCTGGGCGGGGCGGGGAGAGGGGCCCTCCGCAGGGAGCAGCCTGAGGCTGGGGGGACAGCCACCTCCGTTCAGCACTGGGCCAGCAGGGGAGGACCTGCTTGACAGACACTCTCCTGCCTGCCCCCCAGGACTCAAAGCTGACCTCCAAGAGGCTGCAGGGAGGGAGGGAGACCGAGCACCAGTGGGCTGTGGCAGCCAACTGCAGGGAACGCGCAAGCAGTGGACTCGGATCATCTAAGCTTGCATCACCTCGCTGGGTGGGGATCCTGAGGATGTAAATGTGCCCCCCACCGGGAAACCACCAGAGGAGGCAGACAGGTGACTTCCACTAGAGGGGTCCTCAGGCTCACGGACACAGCCTTTGAGAGTTACCAATCCCGAATCAATCAACTGCAGAGCATCGTTTAAAAGGACAGTTTGAAATGTACAAACCCATTTTTTAAAAAAGCAGAAGCAGCAGAGAAATTATGTCTTGGAATTTGAACTGTTAGACGCAGATAAGTACTTTATCAAAATGTCTAGAAAGTTACATAATACACATTTTTTAGCAAAACAAGCATTTTCGTTTGGTGAATTAAAAATGCAGTCTCAATGTTTGCTCTGGCTTAATTTTCCCGTTTTACAAGCAAAACCAATGGGCCTCTTCCCACGCCCTGCAGTGATCAGCCTCCTGCCCTGTGTGAACATCACCGGGAGGAGTGACCCCGTTCTCTAGTTCTTGAGGGCCTGGCCCTCTCCCTGCACCCCATCCTCTCTTTTCAAGCCTCACCCCTCTCCCTGGGGCCCAGTCCCCTCAGACCACACCCCCTCCCCTCTCCTTTCTCGCCTCACCCCTCTCCCTGTGGCCCCGCCCCTCAGGCCCCGCCCCTCTCCTTTCTTGCCTCACCCCTCTCCCTGTGGCCCCGCCCCTCAGGCCCCGCCCCTCTCCTTTCTTGCCTCACCCCTCTCCCTGTGGTCCCGCCTCTCCCCTCCGGCCCCACCCCTCCCTGTGGCCTCGCCCCTCCACTCCAGCCCCGCCCCCACTCCCTGTGGCCCCGCCCTCACTCCCTGTGGCCCCGCCCTCACTCCCTGTGGCCCCACCTCTCCTCTCCAACTCACGCAACTCACCCCGCAGCATGTTCTGCTGGTGCTTGGCGGTGCAGATCAGGCGGCTGATGCCCTCGATGCACTGGCTTTTGGCCTCCACATCCTTGTCCTTCGTTTTCTTGGGCAAGAACATCACTAGTGGGGAAGGGGGCCATGCTGTGCTGCATTGTCTTCCGGGGCAGGCTCACAGGAGCCCCACCCCCCGGTGGCGCCGGCGGCACTGGTGGCACAGTCACGCTCCCCAGGCGGGCGCAGGGGCCCACTGGCCACCCCCACAACCTGCCAGCCTCCCACCTCACCCTTTTTGTTCTTCTCCTTGGTGACCACGGTCATGGACATGGTGGGCGTGGCCGTGGCCTCGCCGCTGCTGGGCAGCCTGCTGACCTGGAGGGACCGGAAAGTGCACTTGAGCGTGTTTTTTGCCGTGGGCAGGTCTTTCTTCTCCGCATCTCTCTTTTTCTCCGCAGGCTGAGCCGCCGTCCAGTAATCCACCTGTAGCCCCATTAGCTCGGCGCCGACGCCCTGGCTGCGGAAAAGCGGGGGGTGGGGAGTGGGGGTGGGGCTGTTTCACATGGCGCGGAGGCCGTCCTGCCCACCATGGGGAGGGCAGGGCGGCCTCACCGCCCCATGGGGCCGCGAGGGGTCCTCAGCTGGGGGCTGCCTGATGCGGTGACAAGCACTCCCGCCTATGTCCCCCGCATCCCCTGGGTCACCCTAGCCTGTGCCTGGGGTCCTGGGTTAATTAGCCACAGTGGCCCTTTTAGCATCCACACGTCCCACATAAACGGCACCACGGAGACCTGGTGGCTGCCCCTGTGCGGCTGGCCCCCCCAAGTGCAGCTTTGCTTGGGTGGGGAGGCTCCGAGTGGGTAAGTGGTTTTGCTCGCTGGGATCCAGAAGCAACCTAGGTATAGCTTCGTCACTGTCAGAGGGGGTCTCTCCCTAAGACCTCATCAGCTTTCACATCTTCTCACAGTAAATCCTGCTCCGGCCCAGCCTGAGTGGCCAGTGCTGAGCCCACCCTCAGGGCCCGAGCAGCCTGGCCACTCCTTGGTTCCAGCCTGCCAGCCCCAGGCGTGGGGTGCAGCTGATCATAAGAGGTGGCAGAAAATTCCCAAGGCAAAATCCATATCACCTAAGCACACTCCAACCAGCACTCTCAGAGTGGGGACACAGGGCGACTGTTCCTATGAGCAGGTGGGGTGGGCCACGAGGCTGTGGGGTGCAGGGCCAGGTGCTGGGCCAAGAGCGGCCAGCCGTTTACCTGGGGGAAGACAGGCTGCCGCTCACAGACGGGGATGAGGGCGGGGTGGGCGAGGCTTCTTTGGCAGCTGGAGACATGGACGGCGGGGTGGAGGAGAGCACGCTGGAGCTGGATGGGGCTGCATCGTCGGAGTCACCTTTGGGGAGGAGTCGGGGGCAGGAAGTGAGCCCCTGCCCGCTGCTCTGCCTTGGGGCAGCCACGGGGCCCTGGGGGCCAGGACTGGGCGAGGAGATGGGACACCCCAGGGAGCGCTGGCAGCTCTGCCTACAGCTGACGCAGACCCTCCACGGTCAGCCAGCGTGTGAGCCATGGAGCGGGTGGTCCTCCCTGCAGGAGGCGTGCTGCAGGCAGGCAGCCACCTCCTGGGCTCAGGGCTCCCTCCCGCCAGGACGAGGCGTCCCCCAGAGGGTGCAGGGGGGTGGTTACCTGACGTGGCAGAGGACGGCTCCACTATGCCAACCTTCACAACCTAGAAAGCAACGCAGAGCCAGCTGGGGAGGGAGGCGGCTGTGGCTGTGGGCCTCTCAGCTACTAGGCTCCTGTTTCTGCTCCTGACAGCCATGACCCGAGAGCCCCAGGCTCCAGCCCCTACATGTGGATGGGATTTGAGCTCAGGGCAGCACATGGGGCCGACAGCACCCGGGTCTGTGGGAGGCCATGGCTCAGCCACGGCAGAGGAACCCTCCCTCTGCAAGCAGCATGATCAGAAGACCTCATCATACTGGGGGACACGCTCCCATGCCACCCTGCATTAACAGGGCACTGACCCGTGTCCAAGCCACCCCCAGCCCATGGCCTGGCCCTGGACACACACGTGGCCTACAACAGGGAGATGCCCCAGAGGCCTTGTGGGGTTGGCCCTCTCCCAAAGGCCAAGACTCTGGATCCCAGGACAGCAGCAAACCAACCAGCCCCAGACGACCTGAGATGAGGTGCTGGCAAGAGAAAGCCTACCAACCCGAGCAAGTCGGCAGCTCAGGGAGCCTGCAGTCCAGCTAGGGGGGCCCCACCAGGCACCTGGCGGGAACTGCAGCTGCAGAGGCAGGCACTGCTCCAAAACCCTGCTGTCGGCTGACAGGCAATGTTTTAGACCTGTGCTGTCCAATGCTGTGGCCGCTGGCCACAAGTGGTTCCATGACTTTAAATCAATTATGTCAAGTGCTCAGGGGTCACATGTGGCTGGGGGTGGCCGCCCTGGATGCACCAAGCATCTCCGCCATCACGGAAAATTCTAGGGACACCGCTGCTCTGGATGTGTCCTGTCCCCTCCCAGGAACACCCGGCAATGCCCCAGACCCCTCAGCAGGAGACGCAACCACAGCATGGAGCACAGGAGAAACTGAGGTGCGGAGGCCAACACCACCAGCCCCACCCACCAGGCCGCTCTCTGGTCTCACAGCAGACACCCTGGCTGGTGTCCACACAGTCACACCCACAGTGGGGCCCTCTGAAGTGATGACGAGGTGGTAAGAATGTGCAGACGGAGGAGAGAGGGCCTGCAGGCGCCAGTGAAAATGAACCTTCAAATTTACAAGTCACTTGTCCTGTCCAGGAGTCGCTGGGTTGTGCAAATCATTCATGTACTTGGCCCCTAACTGAGAGGTTGGAGGTTAAAGTCCACCCAGAGGTGCCTCAGAAGAAAGCCCTGGAGATCTACTTCTGAAAACTCAACCACTGGAAACTGTGGAGCACAGGTCGACCCTGACACCTGGGGTCGCCGTGAGTCAGCAGACTTGACAGCAAGCAGCTAGTAGTCCTGTCCTGAGCAAACCAGCACAATCGGTGCCCTGCTTGTCTCCGTGGCTCTTAAGAGGACAGAAGTGCCCCGTGTGCGCTGGTCCTGGGCAATGGGAGTCCTCAGAGGTGCCGCCTACCTGGTCATGCATGGAGGCCAGCGCCAAGTCCCCTGAGCAGGCCCCATAAAGCCAGGTCCCTGGTTGGCGCCATGTGACACATGCTCCAATGCCCGGGACAGGACTGAGAGGTGGACACTATGACTTGGGGCACCGTCACCCCAAACGGTCTGTTCTGCTTGATGGTCAGCAAACCAGGGAGGACCTACAAGCCTTGGGCCGGCTCCCACTCAAACGCGGGAGAAACTACATGCTGTAAGATGGGACGGTTTAAAGGCATGTCCTCAGCTCAAATGTGTGAAGAAGGTTCTGGAATATATGAAACTGACCCCAAAAAAGACTGACACCAAAGGCATTACGCAGGTTAGCTACAGTTTACCAAGCAAATAAAGTCGCCCAAACACTGGAAGGTGCGCAGAGCCAAGTTTCAACCTCCACACCAAAGCAGTACTCACCCCGACAAAGGGGATGAACTTTTGGGAGGACTCTTCGTCGGGGCTAAGAGGAAGGAAAAGATCCAGTTAGCACTCTCTCATCAGAACAGACCCTCTGAGCACACAGCAGGAACTGAGCAGGGGGCCAGCGGGCAGCTCTGTGGGTGCCTCCTCCTGCACCCTCGCCAGGTGGCACCCCCACCCACTGGGGCCAGAGGGCCTGTCCACTCAGGGCCACATCCATTCCCCCTCCACCCCCCATGGTGTGCCCTGGCCTGCACCCTTGATCCCTTCCGAGAGGCCAGGAAGGAAGAGGTGTAGAGAGGATCGTCTGTACTGCTGTCGAGACCAGCTGGGGTCACTGCAGGAGTGTGGGGCTGGCGGGAGCTGGCAGGGGCAACATGGAGCCAGCAGGTGCCGACATGGGGCTGGTGGGGGCCAGCACAGGGCCGGCAGGGGCCCAGCAGGGGATGAGTGGCTTGGACAGGAAAGGGCTCACTCTCCAGGTCCAGGGGCTGCCTGGTGCTGGTGCCTCTCTGCTCGCCTCAGCTGGCCAGGCCAGGCACAGGATCGAAGCATTCCCCTCGGCCCCAACCTTCCAGGGAATATTCTGGCATTCGCCCTGACCATGCCCCCACAAGGCCGTTGGTCTGTCCTGTCGGCACAGGCCTGCACAGCCCGTGGGAGCTCAGGGGGCACTCCTGCACCCAATGATGCTGCTGCAGGGAGGGGCGGGGTCAGCTCGGGCCCCTCTCAGACAGAAGAGCGGAATCCCAGGTCTGATGAGCAAGCCCTTCCGAGCGCAGAGGGCTCCCTCCAGTGACCCAGCAACCTGGGATTGTGGTCCTGGAGCCAGGGCCCCCCAGGCCTATTCCTGCAGCGTCGGCAAACCTGATGCTCAGACATGAGGCTCAGCTGCGGTGACGGGTGCGTATGCAGTTCCTACAACACTGCGCCCATCCCAGGGCCAGGGCTAGGGTGCCCTGGCTAGGCCACATCACGAGTCATTCTGCCTCGGGCGTGGCAGAGGCTCTGCCCGGATCCAGCTGCACACGGTCTTCCCTGGGAGAGCTCATTGCCAGCCCATCCATGTGCAGTCTGCACTTCCTCTCTGATGGGCAGGCCCATCCTGCGGTGTGGCTTCAGTGGGGCCTGCGTCGAGCCTGGCCGTGCCTCCCTGTGGCAGCCCCCACTCCGTGGGCTTTGCTGGTGGCCGCTGACTCAGTGCCATTGGTACTGCCCTCTCTGGGCAATTCCAGCTCTCCCCGCCCCACGTTTTCTCTTTCCCCACGTGCAGAGTCTGATGTTCATGAGCCAACAACGACCCTTCTGGACACAGTGCAGAGAAGCGGGTCCTGCTATGCATGGCATCGGCCAGGGCAGAACCAGGCCAGTGAGGGGCTCACGGATGGCCCTGTCTGGGTGTAAGCATGGGCTCCAGTGGGCACCAGCCCTCCCTTGGGGGCCGCTGGCCAGTACTGGTCACGGTGAAACTCCTTGGCCTTGAACAGTGTGCCCAGGACAAGTGGCCAGCCCAAGATGAGGCCTGTTCCCCGGGTGGGCACCCTCTCCCACCCATGCCATGCACCAGCAGAGGGCAGACCTAGCTCAGTGGCAGCAGATGGACCCACCCTGCTCCAGGCACTGCCCTGAACATCCTCCCCTCCCCTCCCCACCCTAAGACCCCAGCCCAAGTCTGCAGGTGAAGTAAACCCACCTGTGGGTTCTGTCTGGCCCACTACCCCATTCTGTTCAGGAACTACCATGTTCCAACCCCCCTGTTCTCCTTTCTCAGGGAAGAGTGGGAAGAGAACGCTTTCCCTTTGTTTTCCTTCACGATGGTGATGATGATAACAGTGATAACAATAACGCAGTCCGAGTCCCGGGGCCCAGGTCTGCCCCCGACCCCGTCACAGTGTGCGGGTGGTTCCACGCCTCCTTCACCTCTGTGCTCACACCTGTCAGGTGAGCACCGCCTGGGGCACTGTCTACACGGGGACCTTCCACCTGTGCTCACACCTGTCAGGTGAGCACCGCCTGGGGCACCGTCTACACGGGGACCTTTCACCTGTGCTCACACCTGTCAGGTGAGCGCC